GAATGCTAATGCAGGTCACAGCCATTGCTTGCGCTCACTCAATGACCTCTGCGCAACAGCCTACTTCAGAATCTAGAAATGTTTGGAGCATCACTGAGGGGCGCTGAAAGGGAACTAGGGACAGACTGGTGAAAGGAGAAAGGAACAGAAGAGAAAGAATGGAGAGAAACAGCCAGGAAGGAGGAAGATACTAATAAAAAGAAAAATACAGAGGAGGTGGGGCTACAGAACGAAATAGAAAGAGAGCGTGTGCATCAGAGTGACAGGACCCATCGAACGATAGGACCAGGTTGAGGACACAGAGACACCAAATTTAAAGAGGTGCTCATTCTCAAAGTCATGCACGTGCCTAAATATCTTGGTTTCCCTTCCTAATCCCCGCCTTGGCACCCAGGACCCCTTAGTAACCACATCAGCGCCACTGGTACTCAACGCTGGGCTGTAATAAGTGCAATCGCGTCTCACTTTCTCCCGGTTGGAAATAGATGCACAAGAATTGCTGAGACTCAGGTTCTTTCTACCTCTCATGCCATCTCCTTCCTGAAGAGGCTCTCCCTCTTTTCTGTTCAGGGTTGTTGTGCTGTCGAGCTCTTAGGGGATTGCTAGCTGTTTCACAGGGGTAACTTTTGTGTCTCCAACTGATGTTTGAGCAACTGGAGGACAGACGCCACGTCTGTCCACAAGGCCAAGGAGAGTGATGGGCATACAGTAGGTTCCAATTAAATGATTAAATGAACGATTGGTTGGTCGGTTAGTGGTGGTGCTGCTGCTCAGCTGTAGAGCTAGAAATGGAGATAATAACCTTTAGCTCATTTTTTGCAGGCCACCCAAGTCACATTTCCCCTAAGCAGCTATAGGTCACACACAACAGGTGTGCGAAGATCTAAGGGTGACACTGAGGAGGTATCCGAGACCCCCCTGGATGACAGTGGAAAAAGAAAGCAAAATACAACACAAGTGTCTGTGTGAAAAGGAGGATGAGACTTGAGTCCACGAAGAAGTGATTATCTTTTGCTTCAATAACAGAACGCCCAGACTGTCATCTCTCTCCCACATATGAGAGTGGGGGGCTACTGTGTATGCAGCTGAAACGCAAAAGAACCTAATCTGCAGAGAAAATCCCCAATTTCCATTCCGGGTAGAATATTGTTAGTTGCTATGTTAAGCCCAACACTACAAAGGAACTAAGGTCTTTGGTTCTCTTTGTGCTTATGAACAGCCCCCCTAAGCATAAGGGGGGAGTTTAGCCACTGGATAACACCTGTCTGGGGTGTGTTGGTCCTCTACATCAGCCTGGCCCATCGGCAGAGCAAGCGTGATCTGGCCTGTGCAGGCGAGTAGTAGACAATCGTCGATGTTTAGGAAAATCACCGCCAAACACCATTTGCTTGATCTCAGCACCACTTCTGGATCCCTGGATCTGCAACCCTTTTTAGGCCAACCTGGTTTGAACAAGATCTCACCAGCACTTGAGCCTCAGCTGCCCTTGCTCTGGCTTTCCAAAGCCTGCATCGCATCTCACGGGCAACACAGCTCTTGCCCCCTGGGACGCGCCGTGCGGCTGGTATCCTGACTGAGCCAACCCTGGTGGCCCTGTGAGTGCAGTGACTCAGACACCAGGAAACCACTGACAAAGCAGCAAATAGGAATGGCAGCAATTACAAAATTCTCCACCGCGCTGGAACCAGGTCTGCGTGTGGCTGGCAGATGAGGCCAGGAGACGCCCCCATCCCTGCTGGTATTTATGCCAACTGATTTACCTGGGGCCTGAGGGGACCTCAAGGGAGCATGTGATTTCTGTGTACAATCGGGATCCAGACATATGGGCATAGCAGGTGGAATGGGAGGAAGTGGGGAAGGGAAGGCACCCTGAGTCAGTTTGCATGGAGGGAAAGCAGGGCACCCGAGAAAGGCCACACAGTGACGGGAAGAGCCTGGAGTGTAAACCAGATTCAGCAACACGTGCTAAAAATCTGGGAGAAGTCATGCTTCTGACTCAAACTGGTTGCAGGTAGTTGGATGACCCCATCCCAGCCGCTCCACGTGCATGTGCCAGGGAGAGAAAGAATTCAGTGTATGAAATAAACCCTTATTAAACCCTATCATAACCGGGGGCGTATGCAACCCTGCCGTAGGATCTTCTGTAGCTGATCAGCACATGGAAGAAGGGTTCTCCTCTTTTTTACCAAAGCCTGCCAAGTTGTCAAGGCCTGTGTAGCTGGGGAGTAGTGGACGCCAGGACAGAGGCCAACCAGGTCATTAAGGTCAGGGGCTGGGGCTGATGTGTGGGCCCTGTAAGGTACCCCTTAGGCACTCTCAGGACTACACTTTGGTGAAAGGGTGCTGAGGATGGAGAAGAGCTTTGCAAACTTTCATGGAGTTGGTGGAGATGTGAGTACCGAACATAATGGTACCTATTCCTGCTCACTGGCTGGTAAAGCTTGGGGATCTATTCGTTATGCCCACGCACCAAATATCCTAGTCCCTTTTTAAGGGTGTCAGGAGATATCTGATCTACCAGAACCACTCATGCTTGTTCTGTCCTAGTGATAAGAGGTCAGTAACTAGGGCACCATCAAGGACCTTAGCTTCCATTGGTCCAGAGAAGTGGGCTCTCTCCACGTAGAGAAATAGGAAGCCCTTCCTAATCACTACGCCCACACTGGCCCTTTTGTTCCATCACGAAACCACCTGTGCTATCCAGAGCCTTCCTTTGCTCCAGCAAAGATGACAGAAAGCCTTCACTGTACACAGACATCCAACGTCAGCCCCTTCATCTGCCACATTCCAGTATTATCTATTGTATTCTGTGCATCTCCAGCCAGAGAGGAGGACGAGCAAAGCTTTCCACAGTGTTTTTTCATGTGCCTAATCATCCCAGGCATGCCTCTGGTTTCCTCCCTGGCCCTCCAAGCTCAGAGTTTGTTTCCTTCTGTGGTGAATGTGGGCACGTCTCGCAGCTCAGGGTGGAGAGCCATGAATCAGGAGCAAGAGGCACTAAGAACACTGCGTTTCTGCTGCTTCCCCCACAAGTCCCAGACAGCCTCGTGGGATCCAACTCTGACCCCAGTGGAGTTCTTCATCCATGACTGGTGCCTTCAGGAATGTGTCTGTGGGCGGCAAGAAGAGTTTCAAAAGCAATAGAATGGGGCCACTGACTTTTTTCCTTTCTTTCCAGGCTGGATGGCAAGAGGGCCCTGAAGGTTGGTGAACTGCACGAGTAGGTAGACACAGAGGCCCGAGGCCTGCTGCTGAGTCATTTCAATCTGTTTCAGATTCGATTTGCTCAGTGCATGGAGAAGAACAAGGCTCCCAGTGGGGATATCATGTAGCTGGAGCCTAGAAGTATTTTCTTAATAGATGAAATTTAGAAAGAATTTGAATCTTCTGTGCTGGGGAGGTAGGTCGCCGAGCGAAATGGTTGGGAAAAGGAAACATTTGGCTCCAGTGATGCCAAAGGACATTTCACTGATCTAAATATTTGTCCAGCTGAATTGCTATGTCCACTGTCACCTGCCTGGAATCAATATGTTCAAATCAAACACGGTCATCGGCATCTGAGCGTGGAGAAAGAACTTAAACCTGAGCTGGCAACTGGGAGGGTGAGAGAGGAATCAGACAAGGAGCTAGGACAGGGGAGCTCTTTGCCACCAAGTGAGGGACCTGCAACAATGGTCAATCCCCTAGAGTTCGCATCTGGATCCCGTGATTCAATGACAAGCTTCAGATCGTCGAGGTGCGGTGAATAACTTTGATAGTCAAGACAGCGTATGCATTTTTTGAGAAAGACTTTATCTGTTGGAACAAACACTTGCTCTTTTTGCTTTAGCCTTGAACCTCTCAGGATGCAGACAGACCACTGTGCTCGGAAGGCGCGGACAAAGCTGAGCATACCGTTCTCCTCACTTTTTAAGGGGTTTTCTTAAGATGCCTGTGTCAAGGCCTTTTGATTCTGAGTCATATGAGTGTTCTCCAAGGGGGTAAAAAAAAAAAAAAAAAGGAGCACTTTTCGATTTAACACTGTTTCTCACCAAATGCATGCAAGTTGGCACAACAGGTAGCCCAGATGTTTACAGCCCCTGCGGCGGGTTCACAGAGGCACTAGCACCTTCCTAGGCCCTGCCTTACATGCAGTGTGGAATTAGGTGGTGAACCCATGACAGTGCGGGAGAATCAGGAAGGACCAGAGTCTCGCGGCTCCCATCGGCGACAGAGGAGTCTGCACATTTGTGTGGACAGCAGTGTGCCCAGGGGCCGGTTCCTGCCACTCCTGTCACCACAGCTATGCAGCCAAGGACACGTTGGATCTTGTGACCCACCCTCTGTGGACTGAAGGAAAAGCCCTTCTGGGCCCTATACATGCTCTTTATGTGCTTGTCCGGAAAGGAGAACGTAGCAAGATGCAGTGACCATTTTTGTCATCATTCTTAATGTGGTAGAGTGATTGCAAACATGTCCCCAACTCTTCACCCTGCCACGAAGCCACACCTCTGCAGCGTGACGTTGCATTTCCTCCCACCAGTAAGTGTCTCCCTGTGCTTGTAAATCTGGACTGGTCTTGTGACTCACTTTGACCAACAGAATATAGGGTCAGTGATGGTGCGCCAGTTCTAAACCTCAGCCTCAAGAGGCATTGAGCACTTGTGCCCTTTCTCTTGGACCCATGATTGACCTATGATTGTGCTCTTTCTCCTGGACCACGGGAGCAAGCTGCGCTGCTGGATGAAAGAGACACTGCCCCGGTCCCCCTGTCACTCTCCCTGACAGCCAAACAACTGCCAGACTTCTGAGTGAGGCCTTCCTAGACCAGGCATCCCTTGGCCCATCTGCCCGCTGACCACAGATCCGAGGAAGCCAAATCAGGATCAACCAAACCTGGCCCAAGTTAAGAGCACTGCCCAGCTGAGCCGTAGACCTGTGAGCAAAAGCAAATGCCTGTCGTGGTAAGTCATTAACTTCGGGTGACTTGTAACACAGCAAGAGCCAAGTGTTACACTTACTTGATTCAGGGAGAGGGCACAGCATGACGGGATGGTGTAATACCACCCTTCGGGCGTCCACGTACTCATTTATTCCACAGATCGTGGTTGAACTTCTGCTCTGTAACCGGTACTGCTCCAAATTCTGAGGATGCAAGGTCCCTGCTCTCTTCGAGTTTGCATCCCAGTCTGGGAACGCAAACCACAAATAAATAAATGAGTCAATAAAATAATAAAAATATCAGCTAGCAGTAATGCACAGAGCCGCTGAAAGGGCATGTGATAAAGAGTAACTGTGTGGCTACTTTGGCTTTATGGCCAGGGAAGCCTTCCTTCTTGAAGAAAGGTTTAATTTAGGCGAGAGGAGGTACAGAGCACAGAGGGCTTTTAAGCCAGGAAAAGAATTAAGATTTTCATGTCAAATGCATTAAGTGAGCTATTATCACTTTTTAATTTAATTTAATTTAATTTAATTTAATTTAATTTAATTGTTTATTTATTTTTGAGAGAGAGAGAGAGAATGCATGAGAGGAGGAGAGGAGCAAAGTTAGAGGGAGAGAGAGAGAGAATCTTAAGCAGGCTCCATGCTCAGCACAGAGCTCGACACGGGGCTCGATCCCACCACCATGAGATCATTCATGACCTGAGCTGAAATCAAGAGTCAGACACTTAACCGACTGAGCCACCCAGGAACCCCTAGTTATCACTTTTTTGAAACAAGAGTCTAACATAATGTGATTGATGTTTAAATGAATCCCGCTGGTGGCAGACATGGTTTTGTTGTTTTTTAATGTTTATTTTTGAGGGAGAGAGAGACAGACTATGAGCAGAGGAGGGGCAGAGAGAGAGTGAGACACAGAATCCAAAGTAGGCTCCAGGCTCTGAGCTGTCAGCACAGAGCCCGACGCAGGGCTTGAATTCAGGAACCGTGAGATCATGACCTGAGCGGAAGTCAGACACGTAACCGACTGAGCCACCCCGGCTCTCCCAGACATAGAGCAGTTTTCAAGGGTCAAAAGTGGAAGAAGAAAATCAGTTAAGAAGCTCCTGCAATAATTTAGCTTGGGCCATGGTTATAGTAATTAAGATTAAGAGAAACATGGTTTAGGGGAAGAAATAATCGGTCTTGGGATGAGTTCCGTGTGGAGTCAAAGGAGAGACTGGAATCCAGGGTAAGGGCAGGCCTGAGGGTTGGGCTGCTTGAGTCTTGGACGTCCATCCGTTAGGACAGGGAGAGGCCAAGTGTGTGGGAGGCCACATGGGCCTAAAGTCCTAGGGAGGGGTCAGCACTGCAGAATAGGTTGGGGGTCACTGGCATGCACATGCCACAAGCGTTGGACTAGATGAGGTCACTGAGGACAGTAATTAGAAAAGCAGCATACACAAGGATGAGCCTTGGGACACACCCCCACCGATGGGCCGAGCAGCTGAGAAGGCTCCCGCAAAACAGACTGAGAAGGAACAGAGAGTAAAGGAAGGGGCAAATGACGAGGGACATATGGTGTCACCAAAAAAATCAAGAGGGCAAAATAGAGAGAAAGGAGGTTCTACTCTATGGTATTGAATACTCCTGACTGATACAGAGGACAAGAACCTTCCTGAAACCATTGAATTTGGCAATTGAATTGCCCTCTCCAGGACAATGATACACCCCAAACATAAAATGGATTGTGAAATTATTCTCTAGTCTCTCTGTCAAAGCAGCCTTCTGTCACTGGATAGTTGAATTCCTTAATACCAGCTGTCCCCACTCCTCTTAATCTCTGTTCTCATAGGTTCAGTTATTCCTCAAATTTCATGATTTTCCAAAGGCCCAGAAATATGAAGACCCCTCAGGTGAATCCCTATAGGATTCTCTGGAATCTATAAGTTTCTTGAAAACAAAGATGGCATCCATCCTGTTTACACGGTATCCCAGCCGCCACTGCAGTACCCACCCACAAATAAATTCTCACAAAACTTGAGTCCATGAATAAACATTAAATCCCATTTGACCTCCTATCATCAATACTATACATGGCTTCTTCTGGTAACCAAGCTGCCACCACCTTATCCCCCTGTGGATAGATGTGAGGCATTTTTTCAATATTCTCCAAACTGAGGCTTCTCAGGGTTAGGATCCTGTCTCGCTCTTCAATCTGTGTAGCATCAAGTGCTGCTCTATGGCCAGTTTCCTGGTACTGCTAGTGACTTCTCTGATGTGGACTTCTCATTGGCCGACGAGACTTTCCTGGTGACCTGCCCATCCCCACGGTTGGGACAAATCGTACCCCCAAATTATGTCTGAGGGTCCCATCTCCCAGGACTTTACCTTTAAGATTTCATAAGTGTTTCTTGCAGAATTTTTCAGCTGCTTTGTATTCAATTCACACATATGCATGGTCTGTGTGGCTGGATGCTAGGCTGAGTCTGTGTCAGCTCGGCCCAAAACGTTGCCTGTGTCTAAAAGTCAAGGTTACAGTGCCTAGCACCGGTATCTGGGAGCATCCATGTGGCTTTGGGATCTCTGCAAGGGTATTACTTTTACCCTACAATTTTGACCTTGAGGCTTGTGTGTGAATCAGTATCAGAGTTTGTGCTTCCAATAGTTCATTTGGACCCTCTCTCAGAGAGGGGCATTCGGTAACCGTTCCAAATGCACCTAGAATAAATCAGCTGCTAATCGGAGGGCAACTCTGTTTCCCAGGACAAGCAGGTGTTAGGAGGCAGAGCACTGAAAAGTCAGCCTCAGTTGATCTGAACAAAAGGCCACCCTTTTTCACCTTTAAACTGATTTCACCTAGAATCATGAGGGTTTTGGCAACTTTTAAAGGCCTTGGTAATTATTCTGGGCTCACCCCTCTAACTTTCTGCTACCACTTTCTACCGTAAATAACTCACATTTGCTTGGCCTGTGAAAGGAAATTATCGCAGAAACAAAATCAGATTTTAGCTGAAGTCAAGACACATATTAAATCTGATGCTTCACAGATGAATACAAGCCCCTCCACCTCTGACAGCTTCTCCTGGCTGTGTGCAGACACTTAATAAATGCTTTTGATGAAGGTCCCTCTGTCTTAAAAGGAAATTAGATTGTTCTGACAATATCTCTTCATCGCTAAACTGCTGGTTATTATCCAGCAGCTTGTGATCCTCTAGGTGTTTGCAAATTGATTGTTTAATGTTTTGCATTCTTCTATGTCCACATTTCCAGGGTCAGCAGGCACATCTACAATTCCCAGTGTAGGTGATGTGTTTGTCCTTTGCTGGTCTTTGGGTGTTTCATTGAAAACACACACACACACACACACACACACACACACACACTGTTTTGTTTCAAAACAATTTCCCAAGCTCTTCCTTCGTTCACTTCTTTGTATTTACTGACTACCAAACATGTATGAACTAGCACTGGGCTAATCACTGGGGATACATTGGTATGCAAGACAGCATAAACGCTAGTGACTATAATTTCAGATTGTAGTTAGGACCGTGGATAAAATAAACAGGTGCTATGATGGAAAATAAATGTGACTGCCTTTCTGAATAGGAGCATTTTTTTTTTTCAACGTTTATTTATTTTGGGGACAGAGAGAGACAGAGCATGAACGGGGGAGGGGCAGAGAGAGAGGGAGACACAGAATCGGAAACAGGCTCCAGGCTCTGAGCCATCAGCCCAGAGCCCGACGCGGGGCTCGAACTCACGGACCGCGAGATCGTGACCTGGTTGAAGTCGGACACTTAACCGACTGCGCCACCCAGGCGCCCCTGAATAGGAGCATTTTAAGCTGAGCTCTGGAGAGTGCAAGAGGGAGGGACAGCCTTAAAAAGTGAGTAGAAGGAAGTGATGGATGCAAGGGCCCTGAGGTCCTCTTCTGGTCTAGCACCTAATGGAAGGCAAATGGGAGTGGACTTTGGAAAGAGGGTGAAATGAAGGTAAGGGGTGGTCATATTATCAGGAAGCTTACAGGTTGGGTGAACATCCATCCCAGTTTGCTAAGAACAGTCCTCATTTAGACCGTTGTCCCTGAGTAATTACTGATAAGGCTCTTTATTCTCAAAAGTGTCCTGGTTTGCATAATAAATTATATGGCCATCCTATTTTTAAAGGGCAGGCCAAAGAGTTGGGATTTTATCATATGAAAGATAGAAAATCAGGAAGGATATTAAGCAGAGATATGAGAGAATTTGATTTGTGTTTCCAGACTGTTCCACCTGTAGTCTAAAGGGGGCCAAGCATGCAAGTGAGAGAGAGCTGTAGTAAGGCTACTTTTGTGACCCCGGGAAAAGTGGATGGTCAACAGGGAATCACATTTAGAAAATATCTTATGCAGGGATGCCTAGCTGGCTCAGTTGGTGGAGCGTGTGACCCTTGATCTCAGGAGTGTGCGTTTGAGCCCGCCCCATGTTGGGTGTAGAGATTATTCAAAAATAAAATCTTTAGAAAATGTATGTATCTTATGTTAAGCAATAGTCTATCATCTTTTTCCTTTTCAAGCCCTCAGTGCTGGTTCCAGTAGACTAGACACTATGGTGCTCTGTGGAGGTCCCACCCCTTCGAGACTGAGCCCTCTCTTCCTCCAGCTGCCAAAAGTGTTAGCTCTTGACGGCTCACAGCTAAGTTCCTCCCCAGGAATTACAGAAGGGAGCTGCCTTACTCGAGGTTATGCCCCCTCCTGGGAACAGTGCACGTCTGATTAACTGGTTGGTATAGGGGTACAAAGGCCCCATCCCCTTGTCTCAACTTGGGACATCTCTGAAGGGCCATCCCAGCTCCAGAGCTCCAGGTAAAACCCACTGAGGCCTCTGTTGCGGGTGCATCACTGTTCAATCCCCTCACCCTCCAAACAGGGGCTGTTCCCACCGCACTGCCCCCAAAACACTTGCATGCAAATATCCGCTGCAGAGTCTACTGCCTGGGGAACCTGGCCTACAATCCCAGTGTTAGCACAACTTTCCATTAAAATATGTCTTTGGTGTTGCCTACCCTGACATCTCCACATCTAATCAGGAGGTAAAGCTTCCCTGGTGCTTTCTGCTGGGTATATAAAGAATCTTTTCCTATTGTCTTTTATGTCCTTTGTAAATTGAATCACCTACTTTGTTTTGACCTGGATAATTTTCTCTGCAAACAGTTGTTCTGGTTCAT